GTACGACAGAGCGGACACTGATTGGTGATGGTGACTGCTGCAGCTGCTGATCGAAGCCCGTGCTCACCACCCTTTGTCGCGGTCCGATGGGTACAGAGCGCTGTCCATGTTGGAGAAACTCGGCAGCAGACTTGTCCCGCGTCCGTTAACAGGTCACACTTGTAGTAACCCAATTCGTCTCCTGCTCGTCGATCTTGTTCGCGTGGTTGAGGCTCGAAACCAGGAGGTGGAATCGCTGCTGCTGTTGCCCTGGCTCTGAGCTCTGCCGCGTCGATCTTGATGAAAGCCGCTGCAAGTCGTCATACAGTTGAGTGATGCTCCCGTCCCATGCGTAGCTGAACTCCTCGGCGCTGTCTAACTCGAGGGTGGAGAGGACGTCGTTGTAGCACTGCTTTGCCATGGGGTTCGCGTCCGCGATGAGATGTCTATTGTCGTCAAGCTCTCCGATGTGTTCGCGATTGTAGTCGATCTCAGACTTGATGGAGCCGAAGAGTGCAGTGAGCCACTGGTCGAAGTCTGTCGGGTACTTGACTGAGGCCTGAATCATGCGCAGCCTCCGCACTCGCAGCTCGATGTACATCGGGGAGAGAGTGCTTGAACACTTCGCTGTTGGCCATGGTGCGGTAGGTGCCCGCTTCGTCAATGTTCGTGGCTTTGCCTTGCATGAGTACGCGTGTGTAGGTAGCAATGACGGCGTCGAGGCGCTTGTGTTCGGTGTCCTCGAGGAGGTAGGATGCCATGCCGCTGGTTGCAGCACCGATCACCCTGTTAATGAAGATGGTACGTTTGAGGCGCCATGGTACTTTGCGATGCCAGAACTTTCCCATGATGTGCCAGGCTCGCTGGATGCTTTGTATGCGCATGTCGATCTCGATGGCGTTGCTGCCGCCGTGGTGGAAGTGGCCGCCCAGGTACTTAAGGGTGCGGAGGACTCGACCTTGGACTTGATCTGCTAGGGCTCGGTTCTCCCTCCGCATGCGTAGGCCTCCAACGATCTCCTCCTTGTCCCTATTCTGATGGAACCCGTACTCGGCGAGGCACTGATCGAGGATGGTGTTACTGTTGGCGAGGGCCGAGGCGGCGTCCCGCGCGGCGCCCGATGGGACGAGGTGTATCTTGAATATGTCGTCGACGTAGAGGTAGACGTAAAGGTCGAGTAGGGCGTGCGTGATTGGTGGCGCGGCCGTGAAGGGGGCGGTGTCCTGCGGGGTCTCCTCGAGCCATTGTCCGACTGGATGCTCATAGACGAAGTTGAAGGAAGTCGGCCCCGTGCTGCAGCCTGGCATGACCCCTGAGCCGAGGGAGAAGTCGCCTGTGGAGTCGAACCCGTCGATCTGGACGCTGGCGCACTGGTAGCGTCGGTGAAATAGACGTTGTTCTGTTACGCTGAGTGCGGACGGGATGGTGTTGATGGCCTTGTCGATCTTGGTGCTGGGGAAAGCGTTGGGTCCTTGCTGCCGACGATGAAGTCTGTTTTAACCCGCTGCAGGCGGTGGGCGACGATGCGGGAGGCTGCCATGGGGACTTCGCGACGCCGATGGGGCCAGCAGCCGTGAGCATGGGGAGGAGGTGACCACGGCTTAGACTTGCACTGGAGCTGTCTGTAGAAGCAGCGACAGAAGGGGGCACAGCATGTGGAGTATGCGCAAGCCGTGTACCTTGGGCTTGCCGTTCTTCTTGTCGAGGGTGAAGCTCTGGCTGTGGTGGGCACTGAGGGGGGCGAAGCCGACGCGGTACACGTGGTTGAGGGCTGACTCGAAGCTCTCTTGCGCGAGGGGAGCCTCAGCGAGCTCGTCATCGTAACCCACGCCTGTCGTCTTCGACTTCTGCTTGGTGATGTTGGCGGGCTGTAGGGTCATCTGGAAGATCTCGGCGGGCAGTGGCCAGTCTGGCACGGAGGCGCGCTTCTTGATGTACTTGAGCCGCCTGGTGACGCCGTAGAGTGCTCGCTTGATGCCGTCCTTGGCGTCCTCGTATTCCCGGCGAACTTGCAGGCTGTGCTCGGTGGTGAACTCGTATGTGGTCTCCTTCAAGATGCGCTTCTCCTCCTCGAGGTCGATCTGGTGAGCTCTGAACCCTCCGTGCTGGCCGTCTCGTGCAATATGATCTGCCCACTCTTGCAAGCTGGGGCGAGATCTGGTCGCGCGGCTGTAGTTGCGGTTGCGCTTGCCGTAGTTGGTGCCGGCAAGGAGTCGAGACAGTTGGTGTACTTCAGCGTGTTGCCGTCGTTGCCAAGCCTCGTATATGCGCTCTTCCAGGTGTTGTCTTCGTTCGGCTTCGTGCTGGCCCTTTCTGCTTCTTGAGGGCACGCGAGAGGACCTCGATCTGGTACTCAATCTCGTAGTTGGGTTCGGTCCCGATGTACTATTCTCTGAGCTTGGCGCGCTCCTGAAGTAGCCGCAAACGTTCTTCCATTAGTACTGTTCTGGCTTGGACTTCTGGCGCTCGAAGAAGGGCTTGGCTGCCTCCTTCATGATGTTCACGATGAGCTCCCAGTGTTCGTCAGCTGTCTTGTCCCCGGCCAACTCCTTCAGCTTGTCCTGGTGCTTGCCGAAGTGGAACTCCAGCGCGTCATTAAACTCCTTGCGGTACTTGTCCGTCTGCAGGGCCAGGGCCATCTTGTCGTAGTCCCACGCGGTCCTCTTGAGATCTGTGAAAACGTTCGGGATGATGACGTTGGCGGCTGCAATCAGTGGGACGTGGTCGCGGGGCACGTTGTCACTGATGAGTTGTAGTGCCTTGGCCGCTCGCAACCAGACTCTGCAATGAGTGATGTGTGGGCATCGTCCTTGAGGCACTGCGATGTAGTCGGGGCGTGTGGCCGTCCTTGGGCCCCGAAGTACGTGGGCCCCGCATTCCAGAAGGTGTTACGGATGCACATGCCGTGCACGTCGAGCATGTTGTGGAAGGCTGCTGCTGCCTCTCCAGGTACTCCTGTAGGGCCTGCGTCGCCGATCACGTTGCTGGGCGTGGAAGGAAGCACGCCGTCTTGGCCGTAGTGGTCGTTCAGGTCGAGGCCAATGATCGGCGTGCTCCTTGTGGGCGTCTCGTTCAGGGTCTTGTTGATCCACTTGAGCGTCTCGTTGACCGTCTTGACCCAGGCGTTGTGGTGCTTGGCGAGCCCTGACCGTGGAGGAAGGTACGCAACGATGAAGGTCATGTCGAGTTCTCCTCGGCGAAGGCGAACTGCTCCTGCACGTCCTTGGATGCACGGCGGCGGGCTGGGGAGCTCGGTCACGCACTTGAGGCGGTAGCGGTTGCTGATCATAATGGCCACGCCCGCGTGATTGTTGGTGAAAGGGCCTCTGCCGTAGCCCCAAGTGAAGATGCGGTGCTTGTAGGTCTGGAGCTGGTCGACGGGGCTGGTGGGGTCGTTCTGCCTCCAACGAGTGGCTGGTAACATGACGACGTCGACAGCGCTGAATTGTCTCGAAATCTCCATGCTTCGTAACGGCGCGACCATGCTGAGCGGATTGTACACGCCCCACCTCATGAACGTCATCCAGAAAATCGCCAGCGAGGAAATATGGATGGCCAGCCGCGCTGGCATGACATGAAGGGTGCCCTGAGGGCGGAGGCTGCTCTGCGTGGGCTGCCTGCTGGGCCGCGAAGGGTGAGGCTGGAGCAGGAAACGGCGGCTGAGGAGGAGGAGGAGGAGGAGGAGGAGGAGGACCAGTGGAGACCCAAGAGTCATTAACGATGTTGAAATTAACCCTCCCTCTAAGCTCCCTCTTCACAAGACCCTACAACGGTTCAGTTCCATTGAAGGAACTGCCTCGTTGGAAAACAACTGGTTGAAGATCTTGAAACGTGCCAGAACATTGTTCTCGGGATTTCAACGCCACGTGCCAAACTGATTGCTGCGTCTTGACTATTCAGAATCGCGCCAGAACGCCATTTTTGGGACTTCAACACAGCGAATCAACATAACTGTTGCGCCCGCAAAATAATACATCCTTCCAGAACACCTTTTCTGGTACGTTGATCATGGGACTATGTGAAACCCTAGCATTTTTTAAAATGTGCGCGGCGCTAAGGCGAGACTCATATATTGAAAACCATGCGCCCTCAATCCGTGAAACTTCTGTCATTTCTTTTGTCACTGTTATCACTGTGAAACTGTGATCACTGTGTCACCTCCCGCCCTCCACCTTTGAATATGTTGTCACTTTTTGAGCTTCAGAATCATAGATGGTGAGGACGTCTCAGGCGAAACGCCCGGCCCGCTCTAAAAACTGGCCTCGGGGTGCGACAGGGAGGAGATCCATAAGAAGAAGAAATGGAGCAGAAGGAGGAGGGGGAGGAGGAGGAGTAGGGGGAGGAGGAGGAGGGGGAGGAGGAGGGCGGGGGAGGAGGAGGAGGAGGAGGAGGAGGAGGAGGAGGAGGAGGAGAAAGGAGGAGGAGGAGGAGGAAGAAGAGGGGGAGGGGGAGGGGGAGGGGGAGGGGGAGGGGAAGGATGAGGATGAGGATGAGGAGGAAGGGGAGGCGGAGGAGGAGAAGGAAGGAGGAGGAGGCGGAGGAGGAGGAAGAGGAGGAGGAAGATTTCCATCCCAAGCACGATCGAACAGGGATGAGCTGTTTAGCAGACGCCCAAGGCCGTGTAATAAACGTCAATTGTCGGGTCCGCGTGGTTCTCCCTTGACCCTTGGGTGACCTAATGCATCGAGCAGAGTCGGACCGCGGATCGGAATCGCGGCCCTGGACGGCGGATCGCATCGCATCTGATCGGGTCGTGCAGTCGGCCCCTATCAGAAGGATGCGCGATAAGGATGCAAGGGCCTTGGAGGCCCATGTGAACCTTTTCCGAACGAGGCTGGCCAGCGAGAGTCGCCAAGACTGGACCGAAGGGGCACCGATGCAAAAGGGTAGCCTTGGGAAGGTTGCCCATCCTTCCTGTGCGGGCTGCCTGTAGCGCATCGAGCCGAATCGGATCGCGGGGCGCCATCGCGGCCCCGGCCGGCGGGTCGCACCGCATGGGCTCGGATCGCAGGCGGCCCCGCCTCGGCGTTCGTCACGAGCGTGACGACCCCGTACTGCTTCGCCACGCCCAGCGTGTGCGCCGCCCGATCCGCAAGGCGGTCCAGCAGCCCCTGCTGCTCCGCGGTGGGCCAGCTGTCGTCGGCGAGCGAGAGGCCCTTGCGGCGGGGACGAGGAGGGCGACGACGAGGGCGACGACGAGGACGATGGCGACGAGGGAGACGACGAGGTGACGACGACGACGAGGCGACGATGACGACGAGGCGACGACGACGAGGGCTACGACGACGAGGCGACGATGACGATGGCGACGAGGGCGACGACAAAGCGTCGACGACGGGGGCGACGATAAAGGTGACGACAAGGCGACGACGACGAGGGCGACGACGAGGCGACGACGAGGACGACGAGGCGACGACGACGATTTCGGCGACGACGAGGCCCTGGCGTGCCCCCGCTGAGCCTGCTCGTGGATCCAGGTGGATGGCAGCACGGTGTCGTCCTCGGGCGGGGGCTCTCGAGGGTAGGAGTTTCTGCTGGCGGCGCGCGCCAGGGGGGAGGTAGGGCGGGGGGCTTCCCCAATGACGAGCGCAGTCGGGCCCAGGGGGATCTTGAGCGAAAACTTAACAAGAGTCAATACGCAAAATAGTGAAAACTAGTCAAACAATCGAACCCAACGTACGTTTTGACTATGTTTGGGTATTCTTCCTGTAGAGGGACATGCCCGACCTCAGCCTGGGACACAAGAACGTCCCGCAAGAACACGAGACTTCCCGTCGGTCAGAACACACGGAACAGCCAGGGGAATTCTGGGTTTCTTCATACGCGTTGGGGAGTACCCCCCCGACGGGGGTCAACCTCGCCTCGTCGTCGCGCCGCGACGGGGGTCGGAGCGCCTTCGGCGCGCGGTGGCTGCCCGCGACGGGGGTCGATGTGGGGCTGTCGGCGGGGGGTGACGCTCCCCCGACGCTTATTGAGAAACTCGGAGTACCCTCACCAGGATGCACAACAGCCAAGGGTACCCTCCCCAGGATGCACAAGAGCATTTGGCAACCAGAAGAGGATAAGGGGGAGGAGGGAAACGAGGAGGAGGAGGAGGAGGAGGAGGAGGACGTGGCGGAGGATGAGGAGGACGTGGCGGAGGACGAGGAGGAGGAGGAGGAGGAGGAGGAGGAGGAGAGGGAGAGGATGATGATGATGCTGATGATGATGATGATGAGGAGGAGGAGGAGGAGGAGGTGGAGGAGGAGGAGGGGGAAGCTCTCCCGGCTAGCAATCACACACTACCGAAAACGTGAACCCGATGGCGAGGTTCAGGGTGAGGGGACAGCAGAGCAGGCATCATAATATGATGCTGATGATGATGGTGGTGGTGATGATGAGGAGGATGATGCTGATGCTGATGCTGATGCTGATGATGCTGATGCTGATGATGCTGATGCTGATGCTGATGCTGATGATGATGATGATGATGATGATGATGATGATGATGCTGATGCTGCTGCTGCTGATGATGATGATGATGATGATGATGATGATGATGATGATGATGATGTCTGGCGCTGCGTGCGTATGTCCGCCGTCGAGCCGCCAAGCACGAGTCGGAAAACCTCCCGCCACGCGTCGCGGGCTCTGCCGCCGCCCGAGCAGATGCCGGGCCAGCGTACAGAGCCGAAACACAAGGCAGGGAGGACCCCTTTGGGTCCCAGGGTGGGCCAGCTTGGCCCAACGAGGCTCGAGCGGGAGCGAAGGAGAAGGGGACCAAGCAGAAGCAGGAGCAGGGAGCAAGGGAAACGCCAAGAGGAGCCCACGCATTCCTCGGACCCGAGAGAGAGCATAGCGCTTAATACAAACAACTAAGCTATCTCGGCTAGCAGTCACACGCGACCGAAAACGTGAACCCAATGGCGAGATGCAGGGTGAGGGGACAGCAGAGCAAGCATCATAGTCTTCGCGCCGCGTACCTTTGTCTCAAGAGCTTACTGCATCTTCAAGGGAACTCGCGGTTACCGTCCCAGGAACTGTGTTTTTGCACGATGTCGGATTGTCAGGGACCAACAGCTACGTTGATTCGCGGCGCTGGAGTCTCAATAATGTTTTGGCGCGATTCAGGGTCGGCAAGACGCAACAGTAACGGTGACTCGCGGCGTTGAAGTACCAGGAATGTTCTGGCACAGTTCAGGATTTCGACTCGGTTGTTTTCCAATGGTCATTGTAGAAGCCTGCGAAGAGGGAACTTGGAGGGTTTATTGCAATATCGCTGATGAGTCTTGGGTCTTCACTAGTCCTCCTGGTCTTCCTGCGCCTCCTCCCGCGTGCACGAGGAGAGGTGCTGACGTCGACGATGCTGGCATCTTTGGAGCAAACTAGCCCCCGATCCCTTCCCCAAACCCATGCACGCCCACTTGTCGAGCCGCGTCCAGCCGCGGCGACGAGAACATCCAGAAACGCCCGAACACCTCCAAAACGAAGATGCCGTCGTCGTCGTCGTCGCCGTTTCAAATCGAACCCGAATTCGCTCAACTGGTTCTGGACCGCGAGAAGGGTCAACGCTGGCTAGTTCGTCATCGCGAGTTGATGTTTGAAATAGTGGGGCACTACAATAAGACAAAAAAACAGCACATCGTTTCCATTCGGCGTGGGGATCTGCATATGTGCATCAGTTGTTCAACACAGCTCCCTTCTACGATTGCCTGGGTATGAGCGATGTCTGGATGACAGAGAACAAGAGGGTCTGAATGCCAGTGAATCTCGGTATGAGTGGGCCTCCCCTGGCGTTTCCCACTTCAGATGCCCAGATGCAATGCCTATTACACCGCGGTGGCCGTGGGGCCTTGAAATATCCGATTCCCCCTTGGGATGGTCAAGTACCATGCCTGCTACATCGCAATGATCAGTGGGCCCTGTGTAAGACTGAGCCAGAGTGTGACTGATGAACGCGACTAGTTGTATCAGGGTGTGATTAAATTTGAGTATGAGTGCTTCTGGGGGTGAATGAACCCGAGCATGATTGATACGTGTATGACTCCATATACATATGAGTGAGCTTGTACTTGACTGAGCCTGAATAGGGAAGATCAGAATCGGATGGGGTCTGCGTGTGCATGGGTCTGTAAGGGTAATTCTGCGTTGAGAAGAGAAGTTGGAGTACGAGTGAATTTGTGTGAAGGGGAGTTGGGGTATGTGTGGTCTGAGAGCATGTGAGTTGAACGTGGGAGGGAATGACGAAGACGGCGGGTGAGGCGGATGCGTCTCACGAGCCAGCCCATACTTACGGTAATATGGGGAAAATGCTAACATTCCGAACCGCCCCCTCCTTCTCCCCGTTGACGGCGGCGGATTCGTCCCAATTCAACATTTCAATATGAGGCGGCTTTTGATGGCCCATGGACCGGGTAATTCAGGGCTCCCATCTTGACCAAAAGATAACAGAAATGCTCGTCTGACCTCTGCTGGGGTGCTTCTAGCCAAAATTCAACAGGCAATCCAGCCGTGGCGAAGGCCTCTCTCTGGAGGTCCATGGTCCTAGCGAAAACACTTGCTGGTCGGCGTGAATTCTCGTCGCTAAAAAAGAATAGACCTTACGAGTTAACGATCCACCTTTACGTATTGCAATTGAAATATGATTCTGCCCCATCGCCCCATCCGAAATATGAATTCATACTATCCCAGCCAGGCCGGTATCACTCCACCCGTCCATCCTCTGCAAAACGTACTATGCGCGCGCTCTCGTTTATCAAATAGCATCAATTTCCAATCATCCCTTGCAAGAAATGTGACGAACTGCGCGCGTGCGTCGCATGCAGACATCCTTCAAGAGCCTTCGGTGTCGGAAGGATTTCAAAATCGAGTTTCCAAGAAACATATAAAAACATGGTTTCGCAACACTGTTTTTCTCCAGAAGTTTACGCGCGCGCTCTTGCGAAATCTTTTTCAAAATTCCCCCAAACAAGCTGCAAAATGGGTTTCGCGCGCGCATGTCGAAATCTTTAGAACACCCTTGCGCGCGTGCCGTCGCGATAATCCTCTGCAACAAACTGGACGAAGTGCAGACGCGCGCGTCGTCGCGCGCGCATGCCGAAATCCTTCACAAACCTTCGGCTTCGGAAGGATTTCAAAATCGTGTCCAAAAAACATACAAGAGCACAAACTTTCGCAACACGGCTTTTCAACAAAAACGTACGCGCGCGTGCTCTTGCGTCGTCGTCGTCGTCGTCGTCGCCGTCCTCCCTCCTCCCTCGTCGTCGTCGTCGTCGCCCTCTGTCTTTCCTCGTCATCGTCGTGGTCGTCTTGGCGTCGTCGTCGTTTCCGTCGTCGTTGTCGCCGTGGTCGTCCTTCCTCCATCGTTGTCTTCGTCGGCGTTTCGTTGTTGTCCCTCCTATTTCGTCGCCGTCGTCGTCGTCGTCGTCGTCGTCGTCGTCGTCGTCTTCCATCCTCCCTCGTCGTTGTCGTCGTCGCCGTCGTCGTCCTCCCTCCTCCCTAGTCGTCGTCGTCGTCTTCGTTGGCGACGTCGTCGTTGTCCCTCCTATTTCGTCGCCGTTGTCGTCGTCGTCGTCGTCGTCATCTCCCTTCCTCCCTCGTCGTTGTCGTCGTCGCCGTCGTCGTCCTCCCTCCTCCCTAGTCGTCGTCGTCGCCGTCGTCGTCTTCGTTGGCGACGTCGTCGTCGTCGTCGTCTTCGTCTTCGCCGTCGTCGTCGTCGTCGTCGTCGCAAGCGTCGTCGTCGTCGTCGGCGTTGTCATCGTCAACGTCGTCGTCAGCGTCGGCGTCAGCGTCGTCGGTGTTGTCGTCGTCGTCGTTGTCGTCGTCGAAGTCGTTGGAGACGTCGTCGGTGTCGTTGTAGTCGTTGTCGGCGGCGTCGTCGTCGTCGTTGTCGCTGTCGTCGTCGGTGTCGCTGCCAAGTGCCATTTGGTACCCACCGTCACGGTCTTAAGAGGTCTTGCGACCAAGTTGCGGGTGGGAGGGTGGGATGTTTGCACGAGCAGTGGAGAGGGCAGCTTCAAGTTGAGCAAGTGAATTCCAAACAATAAAATATTGCACTGTGGATGTGTGAGCTACGTGGTGCAAGCTAATGATGTGGTACAAGCCATGTGGTGCTCTATACAAGCCAGAGGCGACAGCGAGGCGGCAACGGGCTGCGACGTGGGGAAACCTCGCCAGACCCACCCAACGCACGAGGCGGCAACGAGGCGGCAAGGGGCGGCAACGTGGCGAAACCTCGCCCGACACACAAACACACAACCACACAACCACGCAAACGCACACACACACGAACACACACACGCATAACCACGACACACAGCACACAACATGTCTAAGACAACACACGCAATGCACAACGCACGCACACACCACACACACAGAGCGCGCGGGGCGGCGACGAGGCGGCAACGGGCGGCACCGTGGCGAAACCTCCGCCCACCGCACGAGGCGGGAACGAGGCGGCAGCGTGGCCAAACCTCCCACGACCCTCTGGTTCACCAGGCGCACGAGGCGGCAACGAGGAGGCCACGGGCGGCAACGTGCAGAAACCTCGCCGGACCCCTCCAGCGCTCGAGGCGGTGAAGGAGCGGCAACGTGGTGAAACCTCGCCGGACCCACCCAATGCCAAGGAGGCAACGAGTCGGCAACGGGCTGCGACGTGGCGAAATATCGCCAGACCCACCGAACGAACAAGACAGCAACGAGGGGGCAACGAGGCGGCAGCGGGCGGCAACGTGGCGAAACCTCGCTGGACCATTGAGGCGCACGAGGCGGCAACGAGGCGGCCACGGGCTGCGACGTGGCGAAACCTTGCCGGGCGCACCCGGCCTGCAAGGCGGCAGCGAGGCAGCAGCGGGCGGCAACGTGGCAAAGCCTCGCCGGATCCACCCAGCGCACGAGGCGGCAACGGGGTGGCAACGGGCGGCAGCGTGGCGAAACCTTGCCGGGCCCACCCAGCCCGCAAGGCGGCAACGAGGCGGCAACGTGGCGAAGCCTCGCCAGGCACAACCAGCGCACGAAGCGGCGACCAGGCGGCACTTGGCGGCAATGCTGAAAGTCCTCGCCAGACCCAACCAACTCCTCAGAGAGAGGGAACCCCTGAGCACAGGCACTGCTGTCGAGGGAATGGAAAGATATACCTTCAATGCCAGTGGATATGTCGACCCCTATCCCAAGCTTCGTGGGCTTCCGAATGGACCAAACATTGGGGGCCCAACCCTGGGATATAAGGGGAGCGTCCATCCTCGATACGGGTGCGTCCGAATAGCCCCCTTGGGGTGTATCCCAGAGTGCCCCCCTTCTTCTGAGCGGCCGAACTTTTCGGGTGAAACTCGGGGATCTGGGGAAACATCACCTGCGATTCAAAATTCGGCGGCGGCGGTGGAGTCGGCCCCATCGAAGATCAGCATCGCTCTCAGGGGGCCCTAGCGGTCCCTGGAGCCCTGGAGGCTCAACAGCGGCATAGAAACGGACGAGCGACACGACGGCGATGGCGATGGCGGAGACCACGACGGCGACCTCTCCTACGGCAGGTTCGTGCGGCGTCGGCGCGCGCAAAACCTTTTGACCCCACGTCGATCGTTCAACCTTGAATCGATCGCGGCCCCGATGATTCAAAACTGAACTCCGTCGGGTCCAGTGGCGTTACCGTGTCCATCGGTGCTTCCGCGTCGCAGAGTTCAACCTTGAACGCCTTCGCTGGCGTCGCCGGCGCGCCAATGCCGCATGAGCCTAATCGCCGTGCCTCCCTCCGCGCAGCAGCAGGAGTAGGGAAAAAAGAAAGCGGGCGCGTGGAGCGGGGAGAGGGCCCCGACCCCGCCCCTGGGGACCACACGCGGATAAGAGCCGCTCCCAGACCAGAGATGTGTGCCACAGACGCACTGCGGAGGGGAACGCAGGCCGCGACGGCGACGACGACAGCGGTGGCGTCCCAGTCGAAGATCAGCATCGTGCTCTCCGGGGGAACCGGGCGGCAGCTCTCGTCGCAGACGTCGTCGCCGCACTCGGAGGCGCAGTCGCTGCCGAGCTCGGTGGAGGGGGCGGACGCTGCGTCCTCGGCGGCCTCCAAAGGGGGGCGCCGCCGCCACCGTCGCCGAGGGTCGAGGAGGATCGAGGACCAGGGGCCCGCTTCCCAGATCTCCGACGACACGATCTCTTCCGGCCCGTCCTCGGGCCCCATGGCCATCGAAAAAAAAGAGAGAAGATCCGATGAGCATCGTTCCGCCGATCCCTATCCCCACGGGCGTTGCCTGGGCACCGCTGGCCGATTCATCTCCCTTGGTGGGGATATGGGCTGTTCCCTTCGAGCTTCGAGGCGCATATCCCCAGCTGGGGTGGTGGGATGGCGGGGATGGGGATGGGGATGGGCATCGGTTAAAGGATACTTGGGGGCGGCCAAGAGGGGTGCGTCGAAGAGGGGGGCGCAAATCATGGCCAGCGGCATGTGCGCGGCCCGGGGGGGGGGGGCCAGGGCGGGGACGTATTGAAACAAGAAGAGGCGCCATGAAATCTGGGGGAGATGCCGTGGCCCCCGCCATGATAGTTCCCCCCCCCCTAGCCATCACCACCTCCCCCTTCCCCTCTCCCCCTCCCCCCTCCTCCTCCTCCTCTCCTCCTCCTCCCTCCCTCCTCCTCCTCTCCTCCTTCCCTCCTCCTCCTCCTCCCTCCTCCTCCTCCTCCTCCTCCTCCTCCTCCTCCTTCCTCCCCCCTTCCCCTCCTCCTCTCCCCTCTTGGCCGTTCCCGAGATACCGATCCGAGGGGGGGGGGAAACGGCCGGGCCCCGGGCAGGAGTCGGGCGCTTCCGGGGCCGCGGATCGAGCCGGTCCTCTCGTCGGAGGTCCGGGGCACACCGCATCGGGGACGGGGGCCCAGGCTTCCGAAGACCCTCGGGGCGCTCCTCCTGCTCCTCCTGCTCCTCCTGCTCCTCCCTCCTCCCTCCCCCTCCCTCCTCCCTCCTCTCCTCCTCCCCTCCTCCTCCCTCCTCCCCTCCTCCTCCTCCTCTCCTCCTCCTCCTCCTCCTCCTCCTCTCGTCCTGCTCCTCACTCCTCCCTCCTCTCTCCTCCTGATCATCCTCCCTCCTCCTCCTCCTCCTCTCCTCCTCCTCCCTCCTCCTCCTCCTCCTCCCCTCCTCCCCCCTCCTCCTCCCTCCTCCCTCCTCCCTCCTCACTCCTCACTCCTCCTCCTGCTCCTCCCTCCTCCCTCCTCCTCGCGGCGAGGGGAGGCGAAGGAAACTCTCTTAGTGGGAGAAACTCGTGAGGGGCAAAGGTATCTGGGCGTTGCCGTTTTCTGTCTGTTCGGCCTCCGGGAACCTGTCGAGGCCTCTGGGGACATGTAAAGACCTCCGGGTCGCTCCTCCGCATCATCTCTCCTCCCTGCCTCCAGTCTAGTCTATTCTTCCCTTCCCTCAGTCCCTCCCTGTCTGCCTCCCCCTCCCCGTCGAACTCTTCCATTCCTCCTCCTGATAAATCACTCCCTCTGTCGCACAACCAGACGTGTCCAGAGGGTGGGCCACGCGTTTCCTTTGAGACTTCCTTGCCATCTGCGATCCAGAAGCTAAAACAACTCCAGCAGTGACACGCCTTGGGAGCAGGTGGTTTTCAAAATGAGGCTCACCCCTTGGCTCCGCGCAAATTCTTTTTGAATACATCCAGCAATTACAAGAAGGCGGCGGGACGGTGGTTTTGAATATGCAGATCTCGCCTGAGCGCCGCGCACATCCAGACCCAACACATCCCACAATTGCAAGGCTTGAAACCTGTTGTTTTCAGAATGCGGATTTCGCATGAGCCTTCCTCGCATTCAAGTTCCAGGAGCTCCAAGTTGTGGAACAATTGCACGGGCGAGGGGGCGCGTTTTGCCAACATGGGTCTCCCGCTTAGGACTAGGTCGACTTATGTCCAGAACTTTGCAGCTGTGCAACACTTCATCATACAGCTGGCCCGTAACATAAGGATGCACGATAAGAATGCAAGGGCCTTGGACGCTCATGTCGAAGCTTCTCGAGCGGGGAGCGGCCAACGAAAGCGGCCAATGATGGACTGAGGATGCAAGGATGCATGGGTACCCTTGGGAAGGGTGCCCATCCTTACCATGCGGGTTGACTGTGTTCATGGAGGATTAACTTTTAGTTCAACATGGAGCTGCTGAGCTCGGTAACTAATCCTTCCTCTCTCGGTCTCCTTTACTCGGGGGTGCGCAAACATGGATTAGCGATCCATGGATTCGGCGCGCGGTCGCCAAATCCATGGATCGGGGGAGGTGGTATCCCCAAAATGCGGCCGGTGCCGCCTCGCTCGGCGGCGGACATCGGCGATTTCCCATGGAAACAGGACCTGTCGCTAATCCACGCCCCCTTGATCCATGTTTGCGATCGCCTGACATCTAGGCTTAAGTCGGGCCTGTCCCTCTACAGGAGGAATAGTCCAACAATAATCAAGAAATAGTCTGAGGACCATTTCTTGAGTATGTTTGCGATCGCCTGATTTACCCAGAGAGGTGGAGGGCGGACCCTTTGCAAACTGAGATCTCTCCCGAGCTGCAGGCCCATCGGGCGCTCGTCATTCAAGGCGGGGGCGCTCCCCGCTCACGAGGCAAAGACCTGCAGCGGCCCGCGAGGGGGTGCTCGACGCGGGGGGGCTTCTTCCTGCAACACTGTTGGTGCAGCCCTGGATTTGTTCCGGTCTCCCTCTTCCTGCCCCTCCCTCCGTCCCTCCAGGATCGGATCGGAAGCGGATCGGATCGCCAGCTCTGGCTGGCCCCGGCCGATGCCGGTGGATCGAATCGAATCGGAATCGCAGGCCCAGCCCGCGAATCGAATCGCATCGTAGGGAGCCCCACATTCTTCTCGCTGAACGCCCTGAGCATTTTCTTAATTAGGGTGGAGGGCTCAGGGTGAAATCCATATGGGCTTTTGCACCTCGAACCAATCCATCCGCCTTGTGATTCAATTTGTGCAGATTCAAACCTCGGAAATCAATCGAAACGGCACTTCAGATTTCACCCTTTGCCCTCCACCCAAAAAGAATGCTCGGACGCCTGCTTCATCCCTGAGGTCCACGTCTGGAGTCCCAATTCGACCCCGTCTTTCTGCGACAACCTTCGAGCCGGGTGTAAAGCCCCAGGGGACAGACAAGGCGAGATCGCCCAATGCGAACACGGGATCGCTCGCCCTCATCTCCCGAGATCTGACGTCGCAAACATACAGTTAGGTCGGGCACGCCCCCCTACATGGAGATTTTGAACAAATAATATATATATATATATATATGTGTGTGTACATATATATATATAGCCAAAACATACCCCAGAATGGCCAAAACATACTTTAAAAAATCCCCCCGAGTATTTTTTGACTATTCTGGAAAATTCCTCCTGTAGAGGGACACGCCCAACTTAGACATACAGTGGAGGCCAGTCCACAAGAACCCTCCCACAAGACCCCAGGACGTCCATCTGGTTTCTGGCGTGGTGACGCCACGCTTCCCATCGAAAGACCATCGAAGCCCAAGAAACCCAGGGCGCCCTGGAGGCAAGCAGGGTGCTTCTTGGCATAGGCCTGCACTGCATATTGCAACAGCGCGACGGATCACGACGGCCGCACCCCCCCTGGACCCCATCGTCCTCGTGGCTTTCGCGAGCCCCGAGCCCGAAACTGGGCGAAAACGCCCGGTGCGGAAAAACTGCGACGCCAGGATCTCAGGGTCTGCCCCCCTTCTGCTGCATCCTCGGGGGCCTCGTCTGCCTCGTCGCGGCCCTATCCGCGTCGAATCCGTGCTGGACTCATCGAATCCGTGTCGAATCCGTGCCGAATCTCCGTCGAATCCGCATCGAGGCCGCATCGAGCCCGCGTCGGGCACGAGAGAAAACACAAATTTTGGGGACAGCCGAGGTTCCCCCAAGATGCAGCGTGACGGGATAGGCCTGGTAGGAGCAAAACCTGAGGGCCCTGAGGCAAACCGACACCTCCTCCTCCTCCTCCTCCTCCTCCTCCTCCTCCTCCTCGAGGCCTCCTAGACCCCAGGCCTCCTAGATGGGGTCGGAGGATCGCACCGCATCGCCGATGTATCGGCGATGCACCGGCGATGCGTCGGCGATGTCGGCGGTACACGGTCGACGCCAGCGCAAAGGGAACAGGGTTCCACATCGGGCCGCACCGCCGATGCATCGGCGATGCGGCGCGATCCTCCGATCCCATCTACTCCGACCCCATCTTCGGGGGCGCGCCAACATGGACTAGCGATCCATGGATTCGGCGCGCGGTTGCCAAATCCATGGATCGGTGGAGGTGCCTTCCCCAAAATGCGGCCGGTGCCTCCTCGCTCGGCGGCGGAAATCCGCGACTTCCCATGGAAGCGGGACCCGTCGCTAATCCACGCCCCCTTGATCCATGTTTGCGATCGCCTGACATCTAGGCTTAAGTCGGGCCTGTCCCTCTACAGGAGGAATAGTCCAAAAATAATCAAAAAATAGTCTGGGGACCCATTTTGAGTATGTTTTGGCCATTTGGGAATATTTGTGGGGTATTTCTTAATTTTTCGTCGAAAATCCCCCTAAGAGTTGGGGCGTTGACCTAAGGAACCCTAAATAAGGAACGAGGCCCCTTTTTCCCATAAGTTCAGCCTCGATTTCCGATGAAAGCCCTCAGGAAAACCCGAGGCAAACTTTGAAACAATCAAGGAACACCGAGCCCCTCCCCAGCGAAAAGGGTTTCTTCTTCAGCGCCCCGACTGTTAATCGGGTCGGGCGAAAGGGGGGGATAGCAAAGGGGGGGTTTGAGAATCAGCTCACGTAGCTGATTTTCCCGGCGCCTCCCGGCGCCAGAGGCGGCTATGTATCGAGGAATGGGCCCCTCGGTGAGGCCGAAACCAGCTGCATGCAGCAAATTTCGTAACCCCCCCTTTCCCAATCCCCCCCTTTCGTCCGGCCCGATGTTAGGGGGATACGCCCGGCTTAAATCTAGGCCTAGATCCTCCTCCTCCTCCTCGGGCTCCCCCCCGCGGCCTCTGCAGAGGGCGTGCACGAGCCTCGGGCGGCGGCGTCCGCGGCCGCGCCGGGGAGCCCGCAGGAGGCAGCGCGGGGAGCGTCGGCGCCCGCGGCGGCCTCAGAGGCCACCTGCGCTGCCGCCGCCATGGCTCTGCGGGCGCGAGGCTCGGGGATCTGCTCGGCTACACGCAAGAGTGACCCTGGGTAAGAGTGACCTTTGGTGCACGGCTTTTTGGGGGCCGTGGGGGGACCAAACCTGGGCGCGCAAGCCGCTGCTCCTGCTTCGTTTTCAGCCACCTGGGGACCCATCTGTGCCCGCACCAAAGGCCACTCCGGCGAAAGGTCACTCTTACGTCTAGTCGATCTGCTGACCCAGGGCAATCCAGACCCGGGTCACCCAGCAGGCCTGCACAGAAAATCCTGCGAGATCCTGCGCCCCAGCCCAGGTCAGTGCGAAGGATCCTGCAGGATCCTGCGCCCAAGCCCAGGTCAATGCGACCCTGGCCCTGCGGGATCCTGCACCCAAACCCGGGCCAATGCGACCCTGGCCCTTCCAGAATCCTGCAGGATCCTGCACCCAAACCCGGGCCAATGCGACCCTGGCCCTGCAGGAGCCTGCAAGGTCGGGCGCTCTGGCTGCCCCCCGTCTGCATCGACCCCCGTCTCGAGGCTCCCGAGAGGCTCCCGCGCCGCGGCCGCCGGTCCAGCCCCCAGAGAGGGGGATTCACATCGTATGGGGACAATTTTTCTGCATATCCTAACCATTTTTGAAAATTTGTGGATTCATTTTTCGCCCAAAATCCGCCTGTAGGGGGGCATGCCCGACCGAAGACTAGAGGGGCATGCGATTTAAGGATCTATAGGACAGGGGGGATTCGGGGCATGTCCTTCCCTGGGATTGGAGATCTAGGGATTCACTAGGAGGGGGGATTGGGGGGAGGTCGTTCCCTGAGATCTGGGATCTAGGGATTCACTGGGGGGGGGATTGGGGGGAGGTCGCTCAGTGGGGTCTGGGATCCCAGCATCGCAACTTGTTCGCACGCGGCGACTTCGCCCTGCTTTTGACAGTATCATAAGTACGCGCGATAAGGATGCAAGGGCCTTGGACGCCCCTTTCGAAGCTTCTCGAGCGGGGCGCGGCCCACGGAGGTGGCCAAGGATGGACCGAGGCAAGAATGCAAGGCTACCCTTGGGAAGGTTGCCCATCCTGACGATGCGGGTTGACTGCAGAGGGGCATGCGGCTCGGGGAGGTCGCCCCCGGGGTCTGGGATCCTGGCGTCGCCATTTGTTCACACGAGGCGACTTCGCCCTGCTTCGGACCCCGGGGACGGATCGATGCCGCTCAAGAGATGCAGCAGAAGGTTGGGATCTATGAGGCTCTGACCGTGAATTTCACGACGTTATGTGCGTATCGCGCCGTCGGATCTCTCGGATCCATGCGGCCACGCTTTCAAGCCCTCGGGGCCGTCGGGGATGCATCCGGGACAGGGCACTGGCCAGGGTGGACCCCTGGAGGGGTCCGGAACCTGGTTTTGAGCGGTCTTCGATCGGGAGGTTTCTCCTCGCCCGTGACCGCGCCACAGAAAGCGTGGCGTTTGGGTACTCCAGATTTCGTGATACAAGGGAGGGGGTCTGGACCCTCCAAGACAAGCCATTTCAGACCTCCCCCGTGGGAGAACCCTCCAAAACATCGTCCCCAGACCCCCCAGGCCCTCCAAGATAGCCTGGAAGAGACCCCCCCCCGAAATGAGACCCCCCTCCCTATATTACGAAATCTGGAGTACCTCGAGGGGGGGCCACCATGGGTATGGCGCTCGCCCGTTCGCGCCCAGATTGTGGGGATGTCTTTGGCGGTTACCTGTTTTGCCCCACAGGCTCCTGCCTTTCGCGAGAGCCCTATGCTCACCGCGGCACATCGCCGGCGCGGCATCAGGGCCGGGGAGGCTCCGCCAGGGGACGTTGCGCCCCCCCCTCCTCTCTGTTGAAAGCCCCATGATCACAGCGACATGCCAGGCGTGGCACTTGGGCACCCCAAGGGGGAACCGCCAGGGATGGGGACTCTCGCCCATTCGCGCTCAATTTGTGGGCATACATCTATACATATATACATATATATATATGTATATATGTATATATATACAATATACATGTACATGTAGATCTGTGTGTAATATATATACACACTGTAAACCTGCCTACGTGTGTACACACGTGTCTATACATATAGATGTACCGATAGTTAGATTTGGACATCTAAGTGTATATATAAGTATACATATATATATATATGTAAATAAGGTGCATGTATATGTAAATGTACACATACACACCTATTTACATATATATATATATACGTGCTAGAACAATCGCGCGCGCTTCGGGCAGGGACTCTGGAACCATAGCTAGACTGATGGGCGAACACATGGAATATCATCCTTGTCGTTTCTTGCGTCCAGGGACTCTCTTGCAGGCCCTGCGCAAGCCTCGGAATCGTATAGCAAGGGAACTGCGGAAACGCAAACATAAGCCGTGGTATTCAACGATTTGGGGCCCTCGAAAGCTTCCTGGGTTCTTGTCTGGGGGGCGAACTTGGAAAAAAAACGGAATGGTGGGATTTCCTTGTTTTAAAGTTGTAGTGCCTGGGCTGTCGGTTAGAAATTTTCTGCATGCAGGCCACGGTCTGTTGGGATGCCTCTCTGGGTCTTCGTGCAATAATAAGCAGGGGTGAGTTTGGAAAAAAAGAATTCTAAAATTCCACTGCTTCAACTCATGCGATCATGGGATCTCGATTTCTACAGTTGTTTCAGGGGCAGCCAAAGGGACGCGAACCAAGAGAGTGCCAACACAGCGTCAGAGAGTTCAACAGCATTCCCGAAACACTTTTGCATGTGATCCCGAAGTCTTGATGGGGCTCGGAAGAGGATCGGTAGTAGGAATCCCAATTTGAAAAAAAAAGAATCTCTGGAATGTCTTATGATTTGTTCTAATTCCTCGTTTATAGAGCGTTGGAAGCGGGAAACGTGAGAAGGCGAAACACATCGACAAAAACTGCTGGAAAGCAACGCTTTTACCCTCTTCGGGCTTTCTCGGCACGGCTCTCGAAGCTCTCTTGAGCTGTTTTGAAAAAAGTTGGAGGCCTCTGGGGGGTCCCGGAGTCCTCTCAGAGGTCTCTGGCGGCCTCCTGCTCCCGCTCTTGGGCTCATCTTGGGCCTGTTCTGGGGTGGTCTGGAGCTGTCCTGGGCGCCTTTTCGGCAGTCTTGGGGCCATCTTGGCCCGTCTTGGGGCCGTCTTGGGGGCCTCTTGGGCGGTCTCGGGACGATCTCGGCCGCCTGAGAGCGTTGGACGCGTGAAATTGTGAAAACGTGAGAAGGCGAAACATGTAGACTAAAACCGCTGGGAAGCAACGCTTTTACCCTCTTCGGGCTGTTTTGGGGGCCTCGTCCGAGCTTTTTTGGGGGCCTCTCAGGGGTCTGGGGTGTGTTGGAGGCCTCTGGGGGGTCCCGGAGTCCTCTCAGAGGTCTCTAGCGGCCTCCTGCTCCCGCTCTTGGGCTCATCTTGGGCCTGTTCTGGGGTGGTCTGGAGCTGTCCTGGGCGCCTTTTCGGCAATCTTGGGACCGTCTTGGCCCGTCTTGGGGCCGTCTTGGGGGCCTCTTGGGCGGTCTCGGGACGGTCTTGGGGGCCTCTTCGGCCGCCTTGGAGCGTTGGACGCATGAAATGGTGAGAAGGGCAAAAGCCATGAAACAAAAACAAAGAAAATTAACGATTTGAGGTTCTGTGGGCGCTCTCGGGAAGCCTATCGGAGCTCTCTTGAGGTCTTTTGGAGCCCTCCTGGGAGCCTGGAGAGCCGCCCGAAAGCTATCCTGGGTTGCTTGGGAGCGTCTTGGGCCTTTCTTTGACGTTCTGGGGGCTTCTTGGGGTCGTCTTGGGCTGTCCTTGGGTGTTTTGGGGGCTCCCCGGGAGGTCGGGAAACGCGGTAGCGCGAGCGTTCCGCAGATGTTCCGGGAAGGTGTGGGACCCCCGGGAGAAGGGGGCGCGCATTTGTTGAATTTGGAGAAAAAGGGGATCTCTGAAATTTCATATTTTCTCAAAAACAAGAAATCTCGTTTTTGGAGCGTTGGAAGCGGGAAAACGTGAGAAGGCGAAACATGTAGACTAAAACCGCTGGGAAGCAACGCTTTTACCCTCTTCGGGCTGTTTTGGGGGCCTCGTCGGAGCTTTTTTGGGGGCCTCTCAGGGGTCTGGGGTGTGTTGGAGGCCTCTGGGGGGTCCCGGAGTCCTCTCAGAGGTCTCTAGAGGCCTCCTGCTCCCGCTCTTGGGCTCATCTTGGGCCTGTTCTGGGGTGGTCTGGAGCTGTCCTGGGCGCCTTTTCGGCAATCTTGGGACCGTCTTGGCCCGTCTTGTGGGCCGTCTTGGGGGCCTCTGGGCGGTCTCGGGGCGGTCTTGGGGGCCTCTTCGGCCGCCTTGGAGCGTTGGACGCATGAAATGGTTAGAAGGGCAAAAACCATGAAACAAAAACAAAGACAATTAACGATTTGAGGTTCTCTGGGCGCTCTCGGGAAGCCTCTCGGAGCTCTCTTGAGGTCTTTTGGAGCCCTCCTGGGAGCCTGGAGAGCCGCCCGAAAGCTATCCTGGGTTGCTTGGGAGGTCTTGGGCCTTTCTTTGACGTTCTGGGGGCTTCTTGGGGTCGTCTTGGGCTGTCTCCCGGGAGGTCGGGAAACGCGGTAGCGCGAGCGTTCCGCAGATGTTGGAAGGTGTGGGACCCCCCTGGGAAGGGGGGCGCGATTTGTTGAATTTGGGGAAAAAATGGATCTCTGAAATTTATATTTTCTCAAAAACAAGAAATCTCGTTTTGGAGCGTTGGAGGGGAAAAAGTGAGAAGGCGAAACAAGTTAGACTAAAACCGCTGGGAAGAACGCTTTTACCTCTTCGGGCTGTTTTGGGGCCTCGTCGGAGCTTTTTGGGGGCCTCTCATGGGTCTTGGGGTGTGTTGGAGGCCTCTGGGGGGTCCCGGAGTCCTCTCAGAGGTCTCTAGCGGCCTCCTGCTCCCGCTCTTGGGCTCATCTTGGTCCTGGGCGCCTTTTCGGCAATCTTGGGACCGTCTTGGCCCGTCTTGGGGCCGTCTTGGGGGCCTCTTGGGCGGTCTCGGGGCGGTCTTGGGGGCCTCCTCGGCCGCCTTGGAGCGTTGGACGCATGAAATGGTTAGAAGGGCAAAAGTCATGAAACAAAAACAAAGACAATTAACGATTTGAGGTTCTCTGGGCGCTCTCGGGAAGCCTCTCGGAGCTCTCTTGAGGTCTTTTGGAGCCCTCCTGGGAGCCTGGAGAGCCGCCCGAAAGCTATCCTGGGTTGCTTGGGAGCGTCTTGGGCCTTTCTTTGACGTTCTGGGGGCTTCTTGGGGTCGTCTTGGGCTGTCCTTGGGTGTTTTGGGGGCTCCCCGGGAGGTCGGGAAACGCGGTAGCGCGAGCGTTCCGCAGATGTTCCGGGAAGGTGTGGGACCCCCAGGAGAAGGGGGCGCGCATTTGTTGAATTTGGGGAAAAAAGGGGATCTCTGAAATTTCATATTTTCTCAAAAACAAGAATTCTCGTTTTTGGAGCGTTGGAAGCGGGAAAACGTGAGAAGGCGAAACATGTAGACTAAAACCGCTGGGAAGCAACGCTTTTACCCTCTTCGGGCT